CCCTGAGATCATGACCTGAGCCAAAACCAAAAGTCGGTCGTTTAACCAACTGAGCCACTCAGGCGCCCCTTTTGCCCATTTTCTAATTGGACTGTTTTATTTTCTTAACTGTTAAGTTCTGAGAGTTCCTTACATATTCTGATATGCGTTCTCTGGTCAGGGGAGGGGCAGAGGGAGAAGGAGAGCAAGAGAATCCTCAAGCAAACTCCCCACTCAGTGTGGAGCCAGAGGCAGGGCTCGATCCCAGGAGCCGGAGATCATGACCTGAGCTGACATCAAGAGTCAGACGCTTAACGGATGGAGCCACGCAGGTGTCCTTATACCACATTTTCTTTGTCCATTCTTCTGTAGATAGACATGTTGTTTCCATATCTTGGCTATTGTAAGCAATGCTCCAATGAGCACAGGCGTGCACGTATCTCTTGAGATGCTGATTTCACTTCCTTTGGATACATACCCAGAAGTGAGATTTCCAGGTCATACAGTGGTTTTATATTTAACTTTTTGAGGAACTGCCGTACTATTTTCCATGGTGGCTGTACTAATTTACATTTCTACCAACAGTGCACAATGGTTCCCTTTTCTCCACACCCTGGTCCATGCTTGTTTTTTCAGGTCTTTTGATTTTTTTTTTTTTAAGATTTTATTTATTTAAGAGAGAGAGAGCATGAGAAGGGGGAGGGTCAGAGGGAGAAGCAGACTCTCCGCTGAGCGGGGAGCCCGATGCGGGACTCGATCCCGGGTCTCCAGGATCATGACCTGAGCCCAAGGCAGTCGCTTAACCAACTGAGCCACCCAGGCGCCCTCAGGTCTTTTGATAATAGCCACCCAGGACCCTGAGATCATGACCTGAGCCAAAGGCAGCTGCTTCACCAACTGAACCACCCAGGTGCCCCTGTTTTATTGCTTTTATCTATCATTTTCTCGTTTTCAGTTTTATTGATATCTGCTCTTATCTTTATTATTTCCTTCTTTCTGCTGGACTTGTTTGGTTTTTTTTTTTTTTTTTTTGCTCTTCTTTTTCTTGTTTCTCTTTTCTAATGTAAGCATTTAGTACTACCAATTCCCTCTCAGCAGCATTGCTGGTCAAAGAACACACCTGGTGTGATTTTATTTTTATTTATCTTTTTATGGTGAAAACAATTTATATGTAGATTTAGGCAGCTGGACTCAGTTTAGATGATCCCAATTTTGTTGGCAAGATCCAAAGCACTGTAGTCAGGAGCCAGCTGGATATATGCCATCTTTTCCCCTTCGGGCCTGATCAGGGTGTTGACCTTGGCCACACCAATGTCACGGAACTTCTTCACAGCCTGTTTGATCTGGTGCTCGTTGGCCTTGACGTCCACAATGAACACAAACGTGTTGTCTCCTACTTACTTCATGGCTGACTCAGTGATCAGGGGGAACTTGATGATGGCATAGTGGTAAAGCTTATTTCTCCTGGGGGCGCTCTTTTCTAGGATATTTGGGCTGACTTCAGAAACTGTCTTAGGCTGTCAGAAGGTAGGTGACATGTGGATTTTCTTTTCTGTTGTGGCTGTGGACGCCCTTCAGGGCTGCTTTCTTGGCCTTCAAAGCCTTTGCTTTGGCTTTGGCTTTGGGAGGGGCTCTTTTGGCACCATCTTCGCGAAGGGCTAGTGAATAAAGCCCTTCGCGAAGGGCTAGTCCCACCAAGGCCAGGTTATTACAGCATTGGCTCCCATTTTTGGTGCTGACACCTGGTTGGGTTAGTTAGGGGTCTGCCTGTTGGGGCGAAGGTTTCTTGGAGGGCATCTCACCCCTCCCCACCTGAGGACCCCTCATGGGGTTTTAAAGCAAGGTCTCAGCCGGCCAAGGCCTGGCTTTCTTTCCCTGAGGGGGAGCTGTGCAGGGCGGCCAGGCTGCGGGGCTCACAGCTGCCCCCTGGTGGCCAGCCTCAGCCCCCTCCAGCTCTCTGACATGGTGTCCTCCCAGCGTCAGGCGGCAACCACACATCCCAAGGATGGGTCCCTCCAGTTCCCAGATGGGAGGGAGCAGGAATGAGGGCTCACCAGCATTCCTACTTTGCCCTCCTTTCTGCCACATCTTCATCAGGGAAGACCTCAGGGGAGGACTTGGGCCATGTCTCCCTTCAGCATCCATGAAGATACTGCCAGAGTCCCAGCCCTCGCTGCTCTCCAAGGCCACTTTTGTATGATCAGGACAGATTCCAAGAGAATCAAGTCATGGAATGACCTCCCTCAGCCGCCCCTCACCGCTTCGTCTGGCCTGACCCTCCCTCGCTTGCCTCCTCCTCTTGGCATGTTCTTTGCCAAACTATAGATTCTATCAATGAGGGAGCCCCAGAAGTCCCCTGCTTCTGCAAGTGCCCGGAACTGCAAGCCCAAGCCCTTATGAGAGTCAGATGGACACATGCTTTGAACAGGCAGGGGCTGGTGAGAGCCCCCCATTGCTGCCCCTCCCTCCCCGAGGCTCTGTGCCCCTCAACAAGGCTTCCCCAGAACAGCCCTTCAGAATCCTCTCCCTGTGTCTGTAGCCAGTGCCAGCCAGCCTGTACCTGCCGGCAGCTAGAATAGGCAGAGAGGTCATGAGCCCCGATATTCTGGACCAATGATGGATTTATCCAGCCCCCAACATGCTCTGACCTTGTTTGACAGAAAGCCCAGGATGAGCTGCCTCTGCAGTGGGGGCACCTGAGGTAGGTGGGGTGGGTTTGGGAGGGAAGATAGCTCTTTTTATGCCAGAAAGGACAGGCATCCCAGGTAACTAGGCTGAAGTGGGGGGTCTTCATGCATTCAGGCTCATCGGCTTTTTCTATAGCCTCTCCCTAACCCCCTGGAAGGAAGACCTGGAGCACGTGCTCCCTAGGTCTTGGGGAGAGTCTTTACTTCCTCTTCTCCTCCCTCCCATTAGAATAGTTCATAATAGAAAGAGGAAATTATGTCTCCACCAGGCCTAGATGCTTCTGCCAAGCAAAGTAAAACGAAGATGTGAAAATTATGTCAGTTGTTGGAGTTTTTGCTGGATAAGTCATACATTTCACTGTGTTCTGGGGTATCTTTATTCACAGGAGGCAAAACAGAGGTCCCAGGTCAGTTCCCAGCTCCCCATGTCAACCAGCTGCCTAGGGGTCTTTGAGTTGGTGGGATGAAGTTGTTTCTGGGGACCCACACAGGTTGAACCTTACACACAGCCTGGCACTCCCCAGGTGCCCAGTATTGAGTACTGAGTGGAGAAGAGCAGAGGGCAGCCTGTCAGAGGTAGTGGGAGGATCAGTGAGTCACAGATGTTCCAGAAGGGCACAGGTGAGGCCATGAGAGTGGGCACAAAGGAGCATGGGATCCCCCAGCTGCTCTGTGCTGGGCCTAGTGTTTCCTGAATAGGGCTCTAGGGGTTCGGACCACTTCTGAGACCGAGAACCCAGGCTCAGAGAGCACTGTGGGAGCCTCAACTAGTCATAGGACTCAAGCAAAGCAAATCTCGAAGGCCAGCAATAGGTACTGATACTGGGTGAAGGGACTCTGGGATAAAGCAGACTTCTGGGGCATAGGAAGCCCAGGGGCTGGCCTGAGGGGCAGCTGGGATGCCCAAGAAAGAGCATGAAAAAAATCAGAGCAAGCTCAAGTGTACTGAAGACAGACTTGGAACAGGGAAGTCCAAAGTTGTAGGTAGAGGAGATCACCAGCAAGTCCAGGTAACCACAGGTACTTGAAACACCACAGGGTGGTGGGCTTAGCCAGGATGGATCTATTTCTATCTCTCTCTATCTCTATCATCTCTCTCTCTCTCTCTCTCTCTGACTTAGCTCTTGTTGTGTAACAAACCATCCCAAAACTTAATGGCGTAAAGCATTAACTATTTATTATTTCTCATGGGTCTGTAGGTTCGCTGGGCTCAGCTAATCTTGGCTGGGCACACTCATGCTTTTGTGATCCGTTGCTGCATTGGCTGGGAACTGGCTGGTGTAGAATGGCCTTCCAGCAGACCAGTCCAGGCTTGTTCACATAGTGATTGCAGGGGTCCAGGAAAGCAAGTGAAAATATGCAAGGCCTCATGGAGTCATGACTTGGAACTGATAAACTGTCACTTCCACCACACTCTTTTGGACAAACAAGTCTCAAGGCTAAGCCTTGCTTAAAGGGGTTTGGAAATAGACTCTGCCCCTTCATGGGAGGAGCTACAAAGTCACACTGATGGGAGGGGGGAGAAATGGGACCACTTCTGCCATTAATCTACCACACCATCCATTTACAAAAGACAGAAACCTGGGTGTCATCGTGACGCCTCCTTTTTACTTCTCCAACATGCGCTACATCACCGAGGCAATTCAATTTCACCTCTAAAGCTCCATTCAGCTTCTCCCACAGCCACCACCTCAACCTGAGGAGCCCTAACTGGGCTGTCGGTCTAACTGGTTTACTCACATTTTGTCCTCACTGTGCTTGGATTTCTTCAAAGTGCAAGTCAGATCAAATCAAGATCCTATCACCTTTCCTTGCCCCAACCCTCCAAAGACCCTGCATCGGTCAGGTCAGAGCTGTAAGCAGCAGCCACGGGCTGTGACTAGAGGAGAAAAGAAGCCTAATCAAAGGGTATCGGTTAGCTCACAGGACCCCTGGACAACTAGACCCAGAGATCACACAGGCACAAGGGGTGGGGGCTGGGTAGCCAGCACCACCATCAAAACCACACTGCTGGAGCATCTGGTGGTGGGGGGTGTCACATCATTTGCTACAGACTCAAAGACCTGGGTGGAAACACCTTCTTGGCTAAAGCCCCCAGTTTTGGAAATGAGAGTGAAAAAAATCTCATGTAATTTCTGTGCTGACCCAGTCAGTGGGGATTTCCTCAGTCACAGGCAGGAGATTGAGATGCTGGACATTCGTTTTCTCAAACTTTATGGTGCTTAGCGGGCTCCCGAAGCCACCAGGGGCTGGCTGGGTGGGTATCTTAGCTGGTATGCGGTATTCCTGCTGTAGTAAGCATTTTTTTAGTTAAGAGTCACAAACCCCCTTTGGTTTAACTGATAAAGTGGTGAGGATGGGACTTTTTTTTTTTCCCCCCAAAGGCATAAAGAGGAAAAAGTTAGCCTGGTCCTCTGGAGAAAAAGAAATAGGTCAAAAGCTAAAAGTATGACCTAATCCCTCTGTAGTCAGGCAGGAAATAGGAGACGGGCAAATGTTGTGCAAGAGAGATTCCCCTGGGCTTGGCAAGAGGATCCATTGCGGGAGGCCGGGCCTCAGGACCCATTAGACTCTCACACTTTGTCCAGCTGCTATGAAAACTCTCTCCCAGTGTCTGCGTCCGCAGGAGGATAGGCTCCCCTGTTCCTACCCTGGAAAGAGCGAGAGAGGCTGGAAGGGGACAGGAGTAAACCGGAGAGGGGACGTAAGTGGCCGCTTGTTGGTACCTCCCCCAGATCCCTTTACAGGCTGGTGCACCCCCCGCAGCCGCTGGGTCACCGCGGCCTTCTTCGCTAGAGAATTAGCGCAAACGGAGCTCAGCGCTTGGTAGGCTGTGTCCCCACCCCCAGCAGCCCGCAGCCAATGGCTGACTGAGACGTACAAGCCCCGCCCCTTCTCCAGGTGAGTCTTACCGCCGAGGCTAGACTCACCCCAGCCCAAACCGCGCTGTGCTTAGCGGGGGGGGGTGGTGGGGGGTGGTCTCTCTGTATTCCTCTTCTTCCCCGGGCTGGGAGCCAGAGAAAGGATGGCAGCCCGGCCGTTGGCTCTCTTTTGCCCCCTCGTGGATCTGGTGAGAACTTTGGTGACTCCCAAATCGTGTCCCGTGTCCACCGCCCCCCCCCCCCACCCCGCCTACTTGTTTTTCTAAAAGTGGAACATTGGGACCGAGGAGAGCTCGGATTGGGGTTGGGTAAACACTTGTAGCTGGCAAAGTTGAGGGTAGTTTTCCCAGCAAAGGACTTGGTAGGTTTTTTGGGGGAATGCATAGTAATTTGGCTCAGAAAACCTTGGGGTTCATGAGGGCCAGACATGGAAGCCGGGGGGGTGGGGTGGGTAAGGAGCTGATTGATTCTGTGAGTGATTTCTGTGGCCTTCAGCCAGGGATCACCTCTTTGGGTCACAGATTCTTCTTCTTCTTCTTCTTCTTCTTTTTTTTTTTTTTTAAGATTTTATTTATTTATTTGACAGAGAGAGACACAGGAGAGAGGGAACACAAGCAGGGGGAGTGGGAAAGGGAGAAGCAGGCTCCCCGCTGAGCAGGGAGCCCGATATGGGGCTCCATCCCAGGACCCTGGGATCATGACCCGAACGGAAGGCAGACGCTTAACGACTGAGCCACCCAGGCGCCCTGGGTCACACATTCTTCTTATGGCAAGTGGAGAGAATCAGACCAGCTCCTGTATCTGAGGTCGTTGGTGGATTTAGTGTACTTACAGATTTTTTTTTTAAAGATTGATTTATTTTAGAGAGAGCGCATGTGCATGAATGGGGGGAGAGGCAGAGGAGAGAATCTTCAAGCACACTCCCCGCTGAGTGTGGATCCCCTCCGGGCTGGATCTCATCACCCTGAGATCATGACCTGGGCGGAAATCAAGAGTCTGAGCTTAACTGACTGAGCTACCCAGGCATCCCAGTGTAATGACAGATTTGAGAGAGCTTTGGTGTCTCAAGCCACACCGATCTTGTTGCCTATGAATTTCCATCATATGTCCCGTCTTAGCTATGTAACTTTCTATGGGATTATCTGTTTTATTTCTTCCATGTACTGCAACCTCTTCCTACTGGTCTTCCAGCTTCCACATTGCACATTGCAACTAGAATTCTCTTAACATCATGTGGGTATGACACAAAAGCCTTCAAGACTTTCCCATTGCACCTAAAGTCCCAATTATGTTCTGTGGCCCCCTCAAACCCTTCAGGATCTGGAGTTTGCCTCTTTCTTCAGCCTCACCCTTATACTCTCTTCATTGCTTCCTCTGGTCCCATGCCTTCCTTCAGTTCCTTCACCAGCTCTTTTCCATCTCAGAGTGTTTTCACCTGCTAGTCCCTCTGCCTGGAAAATCCTTTGCTCACGTGTGTGTGTGTGTGAGACCAGCTCCTTTTCAGTTCTTTATAGCTTAGTTTAACTATCATATCACAAAGGAGCTATACCCAGTTTCCCTCTATTTGTTTATTTCCTTCATAGTAATTACCACATTATCTTGGTTTTACATTAATGTAAGACATGGATAGTCTTACATTATCTTGTTTACATGTTGACCCTTTCCCCCCTCTCTCCTTTAAAATGAGTCTTCCCGGGCTGCCTGCATGGCTCAATCAGTTAAGCGTCTACCTTGGGCTCAGGTCATGATCTCAGGGTTCTGGGATCGTGCTCTGTATCAGGCTCCCTGCTCAGCAGGGAGTCTGCTTCTCCCTCTGCTCGTACTCTCTCTAGCTCTCTCTCTCTCAAAGAAATAAAATCTTTAAAAATAAATAAACAAAATGAGTCTTCCCACCCCAAGGGCATTATTTACTGTTGTAATCCCTAATGCCTAAAATAGTGCCTACTATTCTTCCAACACTAGTTAGGAATATGTTTGGCTACAAGTAAGAACAACAAAATATGACAGTGAACTTAATAAATAGGGGCTTATTTTAACCACCTAAGAAGAAATCCAAAGGCAAGCTGATTGCTGGTATTGTTTTAGTGACCCAAAATACCATTGGGCACCCAGGCTTTTTCCATACTTCTGTTTCATTATCCTTAGCACGTTGATGTTTCTTCCCTCATTTGTTACAAGATGACTATCCAGATGTAGGCATCACATCTACATGTAAGCTGGGGAGACACAAAGAAGGTGCTAATCATGTCTCCTTCTAGGGGAGCGAAAGTTTTCCTAGGACTCCCTAAGCAGATTTCCCTTCACATCTCATCACCTGTAACTGGGTCACTGGTTCTAGCTTCGAGGGAGGCTGGAAAATGGATCATCTGATGCTTAACTTTATATGTCAACTTGACTGGGCCATGGGGTACCTAGATATTTTGGTCAAATATTATTCTAGGTGCTTCTGTGAGGTTTTTTGTTTTTTTTTTTTTTGGATGAGATTAACATTTAAATTGGTTGAAATAGAAAAAAAATAGAAAAAGAGAAAAAAAATTTCGTTGACTCAGTGGAACACATTGCCCTCCCTAATGTAGGTTTCACTCTGTTGAAGATCTGAATAGAACAGAAAGGCTAACTCTCTCCCAAGTAAGAGAGTTCTTCCTAGCTGACTGCTTTCCAACTGGGACATTGACCTTTTCCTGCTTTCAGGTTTGAACCGAGACATCAGCTCGTCTTGGGTCCGGAGCCTGCCAGCCTTTGGATGGGAACTACACCAGCACAATCCTGGTTATCAGGCCTTTGGACTTGGACTAGAACAAAACCACCGGCTCTCTTGGATCTCCAGCTTGCTGACTCACCCTGTAGTACTTGGGACTTGCTTTCTTCCGTAATCACATGAGCCAATTCCTTATAATCAATCAATCAGTCAATCCTATTGGTTCTATTTCCATGGAGAACTCTAATACAGAATAATATTGTTATAATTGGTTCAAAGTGCTGTACTACAGAAGTATAATAATATAAATCATTTGTATAATTCTAAGTCTTCTAGTAGCCACGTTAAAAACATAAAGAGATGAAATAACTTGTGATAATATATTTTATTTAACCCAAGATATTCAAAACATTATTACTGTGACATGAAATCAATATACAAATTAATGAGATATTTTACAATTTGGGGGCACTAAATCTTCAAAATCTGCTGTACAGTTTATACTTATAACAAATCTCAATTCAGACCAGCCACATTTCAAGTGCCCAATAGTTGCCTATGGCTGGGCTCTACCATATTGGCCAGTGTAGGTGTAGATTATCAAGATACCTTACTTGTATTCAGAATATATAAAGAACTCTTAAAAGTCAATAATAAGAAAACCAACAACTCAACAAACTATGGGAAAAGATTTGAACTGACCATCAAAGAAGGGATACAGATAGCAAATAAATGCACAAAAAGATGTTCGACATTCAACCTAGCTAGTCATCAGGGAAATGTAAATTAAACCACGGTGAAATCTTACTACACACCTACTAGAATAAATGAAATAAAGAGAAAGACCACAACAAGTGTCGCTGAGGGTGAGGGTCAACTGGAACTCTCACTCAGTACTGTTGGGAATGAAAGTGGTACAGCCATTTTGAAAAAGAGTTTGGCATTCCTTAAAAAGTAAACATACACCTATCATGACCAAGCCATTTCATTTACCCGAGAGAAAGAAAATGTTCATACAAAGACTGTACGTGAGGGTTCATAGCAACTTTGTTTGTAATAGTCAAAAATTGTAAACAACCCAAATATTCATCAACAGATGAATGGGTAAAGAAATTAAGGTAGGAAACACTGCGTAGGAATAAAAGTAAATCATTGATACCTGCAACAACATAGATGAGTCTCAGAATAATTATGCTGGGTGAAAGAAGTCATTAAGAAGGGCATTGTGGGGGCGCCTGGGTGGCTCAGTCGGTTGAGCATCTATCTACCTTTGGCTCGCATCATGATCCCGGGGTCCTGGAATTGAGCCCCGTATCGGGCTCCCTGCTCAGCGGGGAGCCTGCTTCTCCCTCTCCTTCTGCCCCTCCCCCTGCTTTTGTTCTCTCTCTTTCTCAAATAAATAAAATCTTAAAAAAAAAAAAAGGACATTGTAGGTGAGTTCCAAGGTGGCAGGGCTATGTTAGGTGAAGAAGGAGGTAAAGCATGTGTTTTGAAGGAACAGCCTTGGGTCTCTACCATGGGGGGGCGGCCATGGTGTCTTCTCCCTTTAAGGCTCATAGGGTTCAGCGGAGCCATCGCTTTTTAGAAGTGTGAATCTCAGCAGGCCCCACGATGACTGCTTCCTGCCACGTGGGGGCATCAGTCACACACCTGATGGTCACAGAGTAAGAGTCGTTCCTCTGAGCCTGGCATCAGTCATGGCTTATGCTGAAATTGAAACACGATGCAATGAGACATATAGGTAGGTCCATGCCACGTTAAGGAGGGCTCCTATATAACACTCCTGTTCCTAAATGCCAACTATTGAAAATTCCAACGTTGGCTGGAAAAGTCTATTATTGATGCTCAGTAGGATTCAGCAAATGCAGGACAAAGCAGCACATCTCAAAACACACGCAGGGAGCCGAACCAGTTGATAAGCCAAAGCAAGAGAAAAGAGAGACCTCCAGTGGTTGTGGTCATCCCCTAAACACCCACTTGGCGTGCCAGTTGTTGGGGTCCATCCTGCCTCTCAGGGGAGACAGCAGGTGTTGAAGTATTGCGGGGTGGTGTGTCATGATGGGTGCAACTGGCTTTGAAAAGCTGCTTCCCAAAGGCATGGGGAGCCATCAAGGGCTTTAGACAGAGCATGGACAATATTGATTTGGGCCAGAGAAAAATCCCTGGGGTGAAGGGGGCTGATATGCTGCAGTGGGGAAGAAGGGATGGAAGTGGGAGGAGCGTGGCAAGGAGATGGGTTTTAGGTGACAATCTTAATAGTCCAATGAGAGTTGCAAAAATGTCCACTCTGTAGTTGGGGGAGGGGATGAGGGCAAGGGAGCATAGTGCCTCGTGGCTTGGAAAGAAAAGAACATGGCTGGGAGCCAGACTACTTGGGCTCAGGTAGCTGTTGGCACATTAATTAACCTTGGTGTGCCTCAGTTTCCTTATCTGTACAATGAAAGTGCATTAGTCTGCAAGGGCTGCCATAACAAAGTATCACAAGCTGGTTGGCTTAGACAACAGAAATTTATTTTCTCGCAGTTCTGGGTCTGAGATTAAGGTTTTGGCAGGCTTGGCTTCTTCCCAGGCCTCTGCTTGGCTTGTAGATGGTCCTCCCTCCATCTGTGACCGTATTCTAATTTCCTCCTCTTATAAGGATACCAGTTACACTGGCTTCGGGCCCACTCAAATGACCTCATTCTAACTTAGTTACGTCTTTAAAGACATATCTCCAAATGCAGCCACACGGTGAGGTTTTGGCAGTTAGGACATCAAATATGAATTTTGGGGGGCTACAACTCAACCCATACAGGAGACTAATGAGAGAATTTACTTCACAGATTTGTGAGGATTAATTGAACTAGGACATGTAAAGTGTTTAGAACAGCGATAAAAAATGTTTTTCTATTATTAAAGAGGACATAGGAAAATGAGGCAGCCATTTCATGGATTTCCTGAAGCTCCTGCCTCCTCCAGGAGTGGGATCCTTTGAGTCCTAGCTGTTCTCTGAGCCCAGCACTCTCAGAAGCCCTCTTCACCTGCTTCTGGTGTCTCCCATCTCAGGTCACAGGTCTTTTTTTTTTTTTTTTTAAGATTTTATTTATTTATTTGAGACACACACACACAGAGCACAAGCGTGGAGGAGGGGCAGAGGGAGAGGGAGAAGCACATTCCCGGCTGAGCAGGGAGCCCAATGCGGCTCAATCCCAGGACCCTGAGATCATGACCTGAGCCGAAGGCAGACATTTAACCGATTGAGCCACCCAGGCGTCCCTAAGGTCACAGTTCTTAAAGGTCAGGATCCTCTTTAATCCCCTTCTCCCCGCAGGACAGCTTGACCAGTGGGCGCCTTGAAAACAGCTAAGCCTGTGGTTGTCAAAGTGTGGTCTCCAGACCATCAGCATCACTTGGGAACTTGCGAGGAAGGCAAAGGAAGCAGTTCTGCTGGGCTACCACCTTGGGGCAGTACAGGACCACTGGTAGGCATGGGCTATGCCAAGCACCCACAAATGCAAAAGCCTTTCGTGGCCCTTTCTGCCTCCAGTCTGGCCCCAAACCCCTCTGCATACCCCACAGCGCTTGAGGGACCTCTTGAGACCCCAAACCCGATTGTGTTACTGGTTCAGAAATCTTCAGCCGCTCCCTACGGCAAGAAAGGCCGTCTCCAGCAGCATCTCCTGCCTCCTGCATCTTGCATGTCCCCACGTGCTCTTTCTACGTTCCCTGGAGTCAGACTGACCTGGATTTGAATTTCAGCTCTGCCATTTGCCCTCTGGGCGTGACTTGGGCAAAAAACCCATCATTCTGAGCCTCGGGTTCCTCATCCCTGAAATGGGGGCAATTAGTAGGAGTTTTTCTCATGGGTTATGAGGAGAGAGAGCTTGTTGACAAGGGGCTTTTAGCCCAGGGTCTCGCATACAGTAGGGACTCAGCCGGTGGCAACCCCGCTTCCCCTTCTGCACTGCCTAGCACGACGCACAGTCGGGGTGCTCATGCCCACACCCTCAACGGGGCCAGTGGATGCTGTTGAGCTCCGCCCATCTCCTCAACGGCACCTCCATCTTTTGGCCTGGGGCTTCCTCTGGTTGCTACGGCCCCGTGTGTATAGAACTCTGTGCAACGGGGATAATAAGAGTGCCTATCTCTAGTGCCCCACAGAGAGGGGGTCCTCAGACTTCTGCCATCGGGGTGTAGACCTAGCGCTCGCCCTTCTCTTGCCCATCTCTGTGACTACCCCTACCCACAGGAGTGGCTGTGTCAGAATATCCGGCAAGGGATGAGGGATGGAGGAGACCTGAAGGGGCCTGGCGCCCTGGTGGCTTCCTGCCCCACCACTCCTGGCCTGTTGCCTTGGGGCCACACGGGCTGGCTCCGGCTCCCCCCACCCTCTCAGACATCTAAGATGCCCCAGTTGAGTCATAGGGTGTAAGAGGACACCAGGCGCCCGGGACTGCCGGATGACCCTGGCACCTTGGCAGGGTAGCTGCTGCTGTGTGGACCGACTCGGGCTGGGGACCTGGAGATGACAGCCCCTCAGCCTGCAGCCTGCCGGGGCCGGAGGCACAGGCCTTGTCCGACAGTTAGTGTCACTGGGACCCCGCTGTCCCTTGTGGCTGCCTCCTGGGGCTGGTTTGCCCTTGGTCTCTGTGTGGTCTTCTGTGTGGGGCTGGTCCTGCCCCGGGAAGCGGTAGGCTTTCATCTACAGGACTGGCTGTCAGGGACTCCAAAGGCACGCTCCCCACCCCACAGCTGAAGTCTTGCCCCTCCCCGGGCTGTCTCTGCAGGAGGTCTGGGGCGGAGCATCGCCCTTGTCCAGGTAGGTTTGGCAAAAGTTACCAAACTGTAGTCAGGACCAGCGACGCAATCTGTGGAGCTCTGGGCAACATGAAAAATGCAGGTTATGATGAAATTATGCAGAATTGCCAGACAGTGACAACGGAGCAGTGAGCCAAGCGTGGGGCCCCTCGTGGTAGCACCGGTGGCGTTGGCCTGAAGCCCGGCTCCGACTGTGATCCTTATCTGTCGGCATGATCCAGTTTGTCAGAACTCCCCGCGCACCAAGGAGTGGCCCTGGAGCTGCTCAGAGATGATACAAGGACACAGAGTCAAAATGTACCCCTTCCCCAGCTTAGGATATCTGTTGTCTCAGAGATACTTGGAACCAGTGTTCCAAGCTGGAGCGTGGCCAATGGGAGCAGGAGCAGGAAATTGGAGGGAGGGAGGAATGAGAGGGGTGGGCATTTATTCCACTAGCTCTCTCCCAGAACCTCCTATCCTGGCTGGGTCCCTGTCCCAGGTCACAGCTCCTGGTCAGGCACAGAGCCAGCCCTGCCTCTAGGGTCTGACTCTCCTAGCTGATAGCTCCTTCGCCTTGGCTCGCCAGACCC